CCTCGCGGCACGTCCAGTCGCAGTGTCTTTCTTCTTCTCCTGAACGCCCTTCCCCTTCCCGTTGACGGCTCTCTTCTTCACCACCGGCTCGTCCTCCTCCTCTTCCTCGTCTTCATCGTCGCTACCACTCTCCTCCTCCTCCTCCTCCTCCTCTTCGTCCTCGCGCCACTTATCGCCCCTCTTCTTCTTCCGCGGTCTCCCGGGCTTCTTCTTCTCCCTCGGCTCAGCCGCCGGCGCCTTCCTTTTCCTCGGCGCGCGCGGCTTCTCAGCTGCAGCCGCCGCCTTGTCCGCCTTCTCTTTCTCTGCGAGCCAGGAGGGTGCCGAATCGGGGAGGTACGTCCTGCGCATGATCTAAAAGGACATCGTTAGCACACATGGCAGTCCATGCAGGTGAGTTCGGTACGCACCTCATTCGCAGCCTCAGGCGTAGGTAACGGCCTAAACACGTCCGCCGGCAACTTGACCTTCTTCGGGTACGTAGCGACGACCCACCCCCTCGCCTTCGCCCACCGCCGAATGACCAGCTGCGCGAGCTCGCTCAGCACATAAAGGTTCTCGCTGGCGCCCACGCTCTCCGCGTCACGCACGCCTTTGAGTCGGCCAGCGATGTGGTATAGCAGCGAGACGTTGTCCCGGTCCGCGACGGCTTCGATGTATCCTTCCACATACTTGGCCACGTCTGGCAATGTTTCTTCGGTTGTGCCAAAGTCGGGATGATGTGCCAGGAGATGTAAGAGTCGAGCGAAGGGCAGTTCCAGAGCCTGAAGGCGGAGTGCAGGCGGGAACGCGCGCGCGGCGTAGCGCACGTATGCGCGGGCCGTGCTGACGATCTCTGCTTCGGGGTCGTGCGCTGTGAGGAAGGCTATGGCGTGGAAGTGTGCGGGGAGGCGGTGCGTTCTGAGGAGGGTGAGGAGCTTGTGGAGGAATGTGTGGCGGACTTCGTATACAGGGTCCTGTGCGGTTTAGTCAGTTGTAGGGCATGAAGGAAGGGAAGAGAGAGACGCACCTGCATCGTGAGCGCGAGCAACACGAAGTGCTGCCCGACGAATTCCCTGAAGGACGGTACGCAAGCGAGATGTAAGAGCGACACGGCCGCCTGCGCGCGCATCAGCGCTCGCGCTCGGGGCCTATAACCATCCATGATCAGCACCGCAAACCCTTTCCGAAGAACGAGTAACACGTACGCATCCTCCTCGCCCTCCTTCAACGCCCCGCCCAACCTCAACAACGTCACAAACATCCTCAGCACAGGCGCAGCGAGCGCCTGCGCCACGTCGCTGTCCGCATGCGCCAAGCACCGCGCGCGGCAGACTTTGAGCGCTAAGACGCGTGCGCGAAGGGCTGGTGGTGTCGGTCCGGTCTCATCCTGTATCCATCGCTCAGTTAGTATTTGCATCAAGGGAGGTTGAGAGAGGGGAGACGCACGTCGTCGGTGCAGGGTACCATCAGTACCCGCTTAACTAAGAACGCGATCACGTCCTCGCTCCGCGCTTCGAACGCTTCGGGGCTCAAACGCGCTAGTTGCGCGAGCACGGCGATGTGCGCTACCAAGCCCATCTCATCTTCCGCGTCTTGTAGTGCGTCTGCGATCGTCTGCGGAGAGGTATGATCAACATATGGAAGAAGGTCGTGCGGTGAAGGTGAAGGTGAAGACGCACCTCGACGATCTCGAGCGGCCCGCCCTCGCCCAATGCACCGCGCGCGACGAGACGCGCGGCGAACTTCGCAGCTCGAGGGGCGCCGCCGAGCGCGGCAGCGCGTATCCTCTCGCGGGTACGTTTATCGGTCGGTAGAAGTGCGGGATTGTGCCTATCCGCAATCTGTCAGGCTTTGAAGTGCACAAACAAGGAGGAACAGGGACGTACGCGCATACAGCAGCCAAACACTGCATTACCACCGCCCTCTCGCTCTCCGCCTCATCCTCCCCGTCCTCCTCATCAACATCCTCAACGCTCAACGCCAAACTCCTACAAAGCAGCGCCACATGCCCCTCGAACAAGCTCGGCAGATGCTTCGCGGCCAGCACGAGCAACATCCGCGCGCTCTTCGCGTTTACCACGGCCACGTCTTTGCTTCCTGACAGTGATACTCCTAAAGCGGCCTGGGTCTGGGAGTGTTGGGTTTGGGACTGCGATTGTGAGGCGGAGGTGGTAAGCGATGAGGAGGGCGAGAGGCGGCGGAGGAGGGTCGGGATCGATGAGGTGTTCATTATCCTCAGGGATGATTTGCGGAGGAGGGCGTTGAGCGTTGGGGCGATCGCTGGGTTGGAGGATTCGACGCGTTTGGTGAATTCGGCCTAAGGTGTAGTATACCTGATTAGCGTGTTGACGCGAGGAAAAGGCGACGGGACACGTACAGATGCGCGGCATATCGCTTTGAGGTCGCTGGACGTGTCCATACATGTTCGGAGGAGCTTGTACAGTCTCCCCTCATTCATCCTCGCGAACGCGCGGAGGTCGTCTGTCACCTTCGCCGCGGCCGTAGCTGTAACGTTCGCGCATCAGTATTCAATCAATCGGCCAAATATTGTATACGCACGTTCAAGTCCCTCGCCCAACGACGCCGCGACCTTCGCCAAGCTCGCATCAAGCACGCTCTTACTCTTCCCCTCCTCCTTCTCGCTATCCGCAACACCACCATTCCACGCCACACACGCGTCGACGAAGCGCGCCCATATGCCCGGCCTGGCACCCTTCACGCCCGTGAGCGCGAGAAGCAGGTTAATGCCTGGCTCGTTGCCAGCTTGGCTGAGCAGACGCAGGGTGGTGAGGAGCCGATCGGTCCATCCCGTTTCGTCGATATCGGCTACGGGCGAAGCCTTTTCTTTGCCTTTGCCCTTGCCGTTCTGTGTGGGGGTGTTCTGGGTCTCGTCGAGCTGACTCTGTGTAGACGTCGACTTTGATATGGCCGTAGACGAAGAAGACAGGGAGGGGAGGGGAAGGATGTCGCGCGCGATCACGATTTCAGCTGCGGCGCGCGATTCGATCGTTGCGCATGCGAGGCGGAGGATCGTGTCGGGGATCCAGGCCAGTTGACGGGTGGCGAGTGCCACGCCTGCGTCGATCTCGGCGTAGGCTTGAGCGTAGAGTGAGCCTAGCGCGTCGAGGGCTGCTTGTCGCACTGCGGGCTGCAAGCATCATATGAGTACAAGTGCGAGATGAAGTGGATGAATAATGCATACCCGCTTGTCCAACCCGCGCTCAGACACGGCCTTGAACACATCCACACTGATGCCTCTGAGCACGACCTCCCACTCGAGCCCTCCAACGACCTTACAGACCGCCTTGCGAACCTTCTCATCCGGGTCCAACAGCTTCGCCTTCATTGCCTCTTCAATCTCGACCCTCTTCTCCGGCACGCCCGCCAGCGCGCCCTTCAACCCTTCGACCAGTGCGAGACGCACGGGCACGGCGCGGTCATTGCGCCGGCCGAGCCAGGCCGTCCATGTGCTCGGGTATTGACGGGCTAGTTGGGAGCCGGAGCCTGAGCCTGATGCGGTGGGTCGCGCGGCGTACATCGTTGCGAGAGCTTGGGTAGCCATGACTCTCAGACCCGCGTCTCCTGCACCTAGCTCCAGCTCGATTTGCGGTATGACGTTGTGCAACAGCGCCGGAGCAGCCGCATGGAGCTTTGCGACGAGCTCGTGCGCTTTCGCCGCTTCTTCGAGGTCGGTGTCCGAGTGACCTGGTGCGGGGGACGAGCGAGGGGACGAGGGCGGGACGAGGGACGGCGATAGCAGTGTGTCGGTAAAGTACTGCCATACGTATCGCTGCAGCTTATCAGCCGTCTGTTGCGCGAGGGTGACCGCCAGTCTATACGCCGGGTTCTCGTTGGTCTGTGTTAGAACAATTAGCCGTGGTTGGTTGCGAGCGAGACAGTGGCACTCACGGCGTTCTTGTCCATAAACTGCGCCATCAGCACTTCCAGCGCCTCGCCGGGCACCGTCGCGGACTCCTCAACAAGCGCCACAAGAATGTCGGCGAAATAGATCTCGACTTTCTTGGGGAGTCTCCTCCTGACGAGCTCGAAGAAGGCGCGGAAGACATCGACAGTCAAGGGTTCGGCCGCGGGGAGGTCGCTGATGAGGACAATGGATTTGACTGATGACAAAGACTCGAGCAGAGCGAAGTATCTGTCGTAGTAGGGCGCGTCTGGGCCCTGCTTGAGACCCCTCTGGAGCTGAGTGGTGAAGAACTGGAAGATGTCGCGCAGCTGGGCGTGGGTGTATGGCGCGTCCGGTGCGTACAACCTGAGTATTTCTGCGAGACAGCACGCGGCCCACGCGCGTACGCCAGGGTCCTTGTGGTGTAGGATCGAGAGATGGATGAGGTCGGCGTGCACGGTGCCGAGCGCGGCGCGGCCCTTTGCGTCGTCCTGCTCGAGTGCGGACAGCCGCGTGTGCAGCGCTTCGAGGCGATGAAGCAGAGCGTCTGTGCTGAGACCCTTGGCCAATAGCGGCTCGAGCTTTGCCTTGCGCGGGGAGCGCGTCGAGGGCGGCATCGTATCCGTGAGAGGATGAGACAAGAGAGACGCGCGACGCGATTCACAGACTAAACGCGCCCACGTGCTCCTACTCACATTTTATACCGCAACCATGAGCGCCGCAAAGAGGGCCCTGCCCGCCAAGGAGAGCGGCCTCTTCCGCGAGGTCCTCAACCTGTACGAGAGCAGGTCGTACAAAAAGGCGCTCAAGGCGGCGGACACCATCCTCAAGAAATACCCAGATCACGGCGGTGAATATATAGTCCTACTAGCCAATACTCTATCTGACGCAGTGCACTAGAGACGACATGCATGAAGGGCCTGATCCTCACGCACACCGGGCACCGCGCCGAGGGCGTCGAGCTCGTGCGCAAGGGCATCCGGCTCGATCTTACGTCGCACATCGTCTGGCACGTCTACGGCCTCATCCAAAAGGCAGAAAAGGACTACGAGGGCGCGCTCAAGTCCTACTCCCAAGCTTTACGATTTGACGAGCACAACCAAAACATCCTGCGCGATGCCGCCGCAATGCAGGCCCAGCTACGATTATACGACGCATTAGTAGAAACGCGGAGGACGCTGCTGGCCGTGCGGCCGAACGTGCGCTCAAACTGGATCGGCCTCGCCGTCGCACTCCATCTGGCCGGCGACGACGAAAAGGCCGCGCGCGTGCTCGAGGCACACGAGCGCAGCCTCAAGAACGTCCCGCCCAGGGACTACGAATATTCAGAGCTGCTGCTCTTCCACCTCCGCCTCCTCGCAGACTCGGCAGACCCCAGACGCGCGCTGGACTTTTTGGACGACCACGCGATCGAGATCGTCGACCCTATCTCCAAACTGCTCTTCCGGGCCAGGCTGCTCGTCAAGCTCGAAGATCCCGGCGCGGCGGAGGCGTGGCGGGCGCTCGTGGACAGGAATCCGGACGATACCGACTACATCTCCGGCTTGATCTCCGCTTCGAAAGCTACAGACGACCCCCTGCCCGTCCTCACGGACCTCGTCCAGGCACACCCGCGCGCATCGGCCCCGCGCGAGCTGGCGCTCCTCCACTCTTCCGGCTCTGCCTTTACCGATCTCGCACGGCAACATCTCTCCAGCGGACTGAACAAGGGCATCCCAAGTCTGTTCGCCACCACCAAACCTTTCCTCTCAAACCCGGAGAAGCTTCAAGCGATCAGGGATATTGCGCTCGAGATCAAGGATGGCGCGCCGAGCACTGAGCCTACGCTATGGCTCTGGACCGTCTACTTTCTCTCCCAACTCACATCCTACGCCGCCAAATACCGCCTCCACCCCTCGTACACACAAGAGTCCGCTCTATCCCTCGTGGAAGAGGCCACGGCACATACACCGACGCTACCCGAACTGTGGACGTTACGAGGAAAGATCCTGAAGAGGATGGGAGACCCGTATGGCGCTGTGGACGCGGTCGAGGTCGCGAGGGAGTTGGACGGTCAGGACAGGTTCTTGAACTGGAAGAGCGGGAAGTACATGCTTCGTGCGGGGCTGTTGGAAAAGGCGCAGGGCGTGTTGGGCTTGTTCACCAAAGTGCGTTGACCGCTCCTTGCCCAGGATTGAGGCTGACTGGCATGTAGAAAGACGCGCCATCACCAGGCAAGGACCTCGAGGACATGCAAAGTACCGTCTACCTCCTCGAATCCGGCCGCGCCTCGACACAAAACGGCGTCCTGCACCACGCGCTCAAGCGCTTCCACGCCGTCGCCAAGGTGCGCTCCCCGTCTTATCCTATCTCGACAACGCTGACACCCGCGTAGATCTTCGACGACTGGACAGAAGACCAATTCGACTTCCACGGCTACTCCGTCCGCCGCGGCGTGCTGAACGTCTACACCGACATGCTCAAATGGGCCGACACGCTCCGGACTCAACCGGCGTACATCGCCGCCGCCCTGTCCGCCGCTGAGGTACCTCAACTTTCGCCTACATCTAGTGCGACGCTGACATGCGCATGTGGTAGATCTACATCCGCGTCCACGACGACCCCACCCTCGCCCGTCCACCCCAAACCGAAGAGAACGGCGAAAAGTCGAAAAAGGCGAAGAAGAAGGCGCAGCAGGCCGCGCGCAAGGCTCAAGAAGCGGCCGCTAAGAACGGTGCGTCTACCTCACAGCCCCAGTTCTATCTGTGCGCTGAAGCTCGTCTTGGCTAGCTTCGTCGAAACCGATGGACCCGGACGACCCGCCTCCGCCCGTAGACGAAGATCCTGAGGGATTGAAGTTGCTCGGTGATCCGGAGCCGTTGGAGAGAGCTTGGACTTTGCTACAGCCGTTGCGGACGTTGGATGTGAAGGATGCGAGTGCGTGGGTCGTCATCGCGAAGGTCGCGCTCAGGCGAGGTGCGTGATCATCATCCTCCCTTCCTGGCCCATAGCTGACGTACAAAACAGGGAAGTACCTCCAAGCAGTCCAAGCCCTCACCAAAGCCCGCTCCCTCCACGCCTCCCCCTCAACCCTCCACCCCGTCGCGCTTCACCTAATTCATACCCTCACGACCTCCCCGCCCTCAGCCGACTCACCTTCATCCTCGCTCCTCGCCGACGCGACCAAATCCCTCCTCAGCGCCCTCGACCCCGAATGCCAAGAAGGCGACTCGTGGGTAGATGTGAATGGGCGGTACTTGCAGAAGGCGCAGAGCGCGGAGGAGAAGCTCGGTGCTGCGCGGGCGATGGTGGCGTGTGGCGATCTGGAGGGCGCGGAAGGAGTTGTATTCGGGATCGTGGATGAGAGCGGGGAGGGGCTGGACGTTGGGACGGCGGTAGACCTCTTAACGCTCCTGCGCCACGCAAAATCATCCCGCGCAGAGGAACTCAGGACAAGGCTCGCGGCCGACGCGCGGTTTGCGCGCGCTACGGTGTTCTTATCGCCCGAAGAGCTCAAGGCGAGGGAAGAGGCCAAGGCGAATGTGAAGGAGGATGATACTCTAGAGGTCATCCGATGAGGATGGCGAGGGGATGAGAGGGATTGGATGACATGCTACATATGGACTATGCTGTTGTAGGGTATGCTTGTTGGTGAGCGGGGATGAGCGTGGGGGGCGGTGTATGTTATATTGGATTGAGCGGAGAGGGTAGAATACTAATGCAACTTCTACAAGCACCGATTTGCTGTGAGTTTTTTGCACTCGCAGCCAGCCAACAGCCGTGGGTCACAGTTCCCTGACGTATCAAGCGTTAGCAGAATGCAAAGTGTCCTGCAGCCTCAGTGACTCTCCGCCGTTGATGATCACTCTCTTTCCATGTGATCTGTCGCAAGGACCATTGCTCTTCTCTCACCATTGATTGACTCCAATAAGGTCGTCAACAAAGCGCTCTATCGACCGTTCACTACGATGCTCTTCGCAGTAGGGGACTCGATGTGCAAAGGGTATTCAGACGACGCGCCGCCTAATGCCAGAATGGTGACAGTATAAGGAGCTTTGTATATAATAGCATATGTCAGGGATCGCGCTGGCGCCGGTCGGGATAAAGTACTCCGAAGGCCAAATGACGCGTGACGTCACGCGGGGAAACGTTTATTCGGGACGTGCTGACGGTTGCCACCGTTGCGACCTGTTTATGAGACTGGGCGTTCTCGTCCAAGCAATCGCAGGATATTCAACAAATAGTTTGATCGGGCATGTCACTTCCTCTGGCTCGATGTCGGATATAGACCGTGATCTACGAGCAAAGTATGTCGAAACATCGTTAACTCAACTCATAAGGGGGTACACTGGCAATCTGCGGATAATCAAAGATACAACAGCACTGAGAAAGGGTTCAAGCTCCGTCTTATTCGTAGGAACCGGCTGCGGCTCCTTCATCTCCGTCGTTGGACAAGACTTCTCCAGTGTCGTCGGAAGCTTCGCTTTGGCGCCGAGGAGCAACGCGGAAAGATCCCGAGAGATGTGTATCGATGCTGGGTAGTAGTAATGACATACCCGGGGTGCACCCGAACTTGATGTCACGAAAGACCTTGCAGGTCATCGAATTCACGACACAGATGTTAACGAGTGTGACCATGATGTGTAATGCCGGCACCCAGATAGGGTGCAGATAGAATACGAGCACGACTGTGTTGGCGACAACAGAAACCCTGAACCATAGTCATTATCGCATCCGTACTTCGGGGATGGAGGGCTGACTCACATATAGTACTGTTGTCCGCTCTGTAAGAGGGCCTTGGATAGTCTCGGTAGACCCTCCCCCTTGAAGAACCAGCCGATCTTCTTCTTCCACGTCGAGTGGGAGGTTGGGTCATACCCAGGGTACAGGCGATACGATATAGCGCAGAAGACAACGGCATCATAAAAGGCGGATATGATGATAGACAATCCGGTGAAAGGAGGAAATTTGTCGCTTATGCCGGTGCACAACTGGGAGCCGACCACGGCTGTACTTTCATCACGACTGCCAACTGGTATCGCCAACGTCAACGATGCGCCCAGTGTACACAGCCAGAGAATCGCAAGCAGGCCCACGACCACGGGCCTGTCTTTGTACAGCGCTCGCGCACGGAAGAAAAAGAGTAGAGAGGTGGATGCAATTGCAATTGTCCAAAAGGCTGCAACTGCAACCCTAGAGGCAGCGCACTCGCCACCTCCAACTACCGTGATTGATAAGCTCTTGACCCTCATCAACCACATGATATTGAAGGAAGCGACATACTCCAATTATGCAGCCAGAAGCTGCTATACAAAAGCGTTGCTATTCTGAACGAGATTGTCAGCGTCTACCACGAAAACAGGCGGCAACTTGAAGGTGTCCAGCCCACCTTGAGATTAGATACACAACTCCTGGGGTAGAGGGGCGATTCGTGACGAAAAGTGCGTATATGACTGGCCTGGAGACCAGTCAGATGGCGGTATCTATTTGACAAGATGCATCAAATACATATCATGAATTAGTTCCAGTGTTGTCGTCTGAGAAAGTCTGTGGTAAGTGCGTCAATAGCTTGGGAATGAATAGCGACGCATCACGGTTGTGGTTGCAACGGATACATAGGCGGCAAATCCTTCGTATTCAAAGGCAACCTTCCCCGTGACAGGGTCGACCTTGGAGGGGTCAGTGAGCGGCTGATCTTGGCGCGCGAAGTAGCCATTCCGACAGACAACTCACTCCGAAGTCAGGAGCGGTCATAGTCACTGGTCAGGGTTCAGCTTGCGAGCATGATCTCAAACCCCGTCTCTTTGATAAGGCAAGGGACCCACACAGCCTTCCGCGAAAAGGCACAGCCGCCGGGTAACGAGGCTGATCATCTTCGAATGGGATCTAGACGAGGCAAGAATAAACCTGTATGTAAGTTGTGTTGTGGAGTAGCATGTGACTTATGATCATACGCATTCGAACGTACCGCCCCGATATTGTATTGTTAGCCAACGTTACAGGTATACCAGCTGGTGGCAGAACGATAGGTCACCCTACCTTTTGCATGCACAGAGCTTTGCCCAACTTCGCGCCCGCCGTAGGCACGCCGCACAGACATGACATCGAGCGTCGGTACTTCTCGGCTTGCCCTTGCTCGACGGCACTTTCGCCGTAGACTTCGTAGAGTGCAGGCAGAGTGCGATGAAAAGCTCATGAGCGTGATGTCGAACCCTTTCATTCTGGAGAATGGCTTGCGAGGCGGCTTGAGCGAAGTCACAGGATGGGGTCAACGGCGCACCCCCACATTCGGCGTGAGTCACGCCGAATATGGGGGTAAAGCAGTGCGGTGGCGTCTGTACAGAGCACAGAGTGGGCCATCGTCCCCCAAGGAGCTGTCATGTTTGCGGGATCCAGATGCTGTGTCAGCAACAGCACAGGAGCCAAGTACCACCGCTGTTACATGTTGGCATTGCATAGACGGATCGGCAAGGACTACTTTCAGCCGCGGCATAGACATGACAGAGACCGGTGCGCGAGGAGGGCGTGCTCTGCATCACTAAGACATAGAAGAGGTCTGGCCTAGTGAGTGCCTAGTGACGCACCGAACATAGACTCGCTGGCTTGCATCACATATAGTTCTGCCTCGCGTGTAAAGCTCCCGAGATGATCATCGCAGGTCGCAGGTCGCGGCGTTGAGTGCATGAGCGTTCTGTCTTAAACTCCCACCTTTGTATCCCTGCGTCGTTCTCCTTGCAGTCAGACGCCAGACTACCCTTCCAGCCCAGGGTCCCCGTTCCGCCTTTTGAAACATTTACAACGACCGCACCTCGAGCATCTCCCCCCTCGCTGAACCCTCGCTATGGAGCTGAACATGTACACCCCCGTGACGTATCCACCGTGACGATACACCGACGTGTCCATTCTTTGCTTGATAGAGCACCGAGACCCACTCTGCCCAGTATCTGAACACTTCGGAGGCGGGGAGGGGGGGCAGGATGAGCTGTGGATTAGAAGAGTACATGCAGGGAGCTGATCTGGCTTGTAGTCAGTATTTCGAAGTGTGTTTACCCTGTTTGCCTGCTTTGAGGCAGTATGTCGATCGATAGCTTATTCTTTGCCAGAAACTCTAGGGGAACACACAGCATACTACAGTACACTAGACCTCATCGACCGCCGCGAGGCGTCTAATGGGGTCCTACACCAGCCGCTCAAGCGAGCTCGCCACACTGTTACCGAGGAGCGTCCCTACGTTCGTCACAGTCTTACACACTTCCGCAACGGGTCTGAAAGCAATATTACTATAAATACTGTATCCGACGTGAAGTCGTGAATGCAGTAGCCGAGTCGCCGCACTCGGCCGGGCTTTGACAATTTCGAGTTTTCATATAGATATCAGTACACCGCATACATTGGAGAAATCCCTGACAATTGATTGGCCCTACTCCCATTCAGACATGGCTCGCATGAACTTGCTCGCCCACTCGTGCCTCAAGATGATCTTAGAAAGCTCCCCCTCTTTGCCACAGATCCTGAGAACGCACGTCAGAGTTGCCGCTAGGGCGGTATCGCTTTGACATGGCACGTCGACGCCAATAAAAACAGAGTGTGCGCCGCCCACTGCGACGAGCTTGGCAACACCGTCAAGTTGCCTCTCGAACGTCTTGTACGCTTCGTCCAGCGCCTCCTCAGTCTTGGGCGCAATATCTTCAAGCTTCATCCCTTCCCACTCCTCACGCGTCGTGCGGAACAGCTTCTCGTCTGCCTCATCCATGCAGCACTGCTCGTAGATGGGGAAGCAGATGATCGGGAACGTCGCTTCGAGCAAGGGGCCAACGACCCTCATGAGAAAGGTTCTATGCAAGACGGCGGTGCCTGGCGCAACGAGACGGGGCGTATCCGGATACGTCTCGTCGAGGTACTTTGCGATAGCGAACGACTCCGTGACGACTTTCTTCGTCTTGGGGTCGTAGATCGTCGGAACGGTATACTTGATCGTAGTGGCGTGCGGCGCAACGCCGAGTTCCTTCATCTTAGGTTCGATCGCGGCGAAACTGAGCCATTTCGTCTTGAACTTGAGGCCTTTGAGGTTCAATGCGTAGCTACGAAGGCATCAATGCCCATAATCAACAGATAGTATCTGCCTTTGACGCACCGTGTCCTACAGAGAGTGTGCTCAACATCGTTTGGATCGAAGCGTCGTGAAGAGATTCACTCACTTCCACCTGTACAAGTCGTTAGGCCCTTGAGCGGACTGCGTGCATGACCATAAGATCTTACGTATTCATGCTCCAGCATTTCTCGCTCTCGGACGCCTGCTCGAAACCTTTGCGGGATATATCGTAGAGAGTGATAGGCTCTGACATTGCAGCGGATGTCCGTGCGGCGCGCGGAAGAAGTAGGATGCACAAGAGGTGTCGGGGTAAGTAAAAGTGGCATCCTTGCCATTTGACTGGTCAGGCTGTGCCTACATCGCATCACCGACAATCCGGAAGTCTGAATAGATGCGCCCATGCCATTTTGGGCGTTGCTTTCTCTCGTTGTCTCCCAGCTTAACTGGTACGGCTCCGGGCAATCTCTATCCAGCGTATAATGATATGTACATCCACGGCCATCTCTCGGTGTGGATGATGTCATAACGAGGAGGCGAGCATGCACCTGCATGAACGAATCGGGGGCAATTACGCCATCGAAGAGCGTCTAGTTCGATGTACAATCAAGCTAGATATTATGCCACCACGGATCTTCCAAGAGTTCGAGCGCTGTTGCACGGTTGGCAGGGTTCAGACGCAAGCAACGTCGCATGATATCGGCCATTGAGGTAACTTCTTGCTCCGGCAAATCGACGTAGACCTCGATTGGATCCTTAAGGGAGTGACCGGGTTCAAGAGGCTCAGTAGGTTGTTTCTTCAACTCCCCTAACATGAATATGATATGAGCGGGAATCTTTGGCTCCGCAATGAATGGCGAACTCACGATTCGAGTCGAAGTAGTTGCAAGCCATCGGCCAGCGATCAATCTCATCCCCGAACTTCTCCCCCGAGTATACGGTCATGTAGAACAATGCGTCTTCCACAGCGTCCATGTCAGATACACAGTCTGGTTGGTACTTGAACAAAGGTGCGTGGCAGACAAGCTCGAAGATCTGATCAGTGGCCCAATCAGTTAGATCACTCCCCCGTTCGTGGCATGCTACACGTACCAAGCAACCGAACGACCATATATCTATTGGAGTGCTCCATCGGCCATAGAGGTGTACCTCTGGTGCGCGCAGCTTGGGCGGAGTGGTCTGCGGACTGGTGTTGATGGCCGCTGCATCGCTCGCTGCCATAAGAGATTAATCAGTCACGCCGGTCGTGTTCTTTGAAAGGTCACACTCACCACTGCTGAAGTCAGACAGCACGTAGGTAGCAGCCATGGCAGCGTCGACGGATATCATAGGCAACGGTTGAGATACGGCTGATTGGACGACACCGAGAGGTACTTGTTCGGGAGGGTTGCGGCGAGGTGGATTGGACGACAGCCAGGTCTCGATATCGCGAGGCGTCAGGTGAGGGCTGAAGAATACATTGTCGGACTTCACGTCGGTGTGTATCACACCGCGAGAATGCGTGTGTGCAATACCACGAAGTATGTGCAGGAGGATGTGTTTGGCCAACGCGTAAGGCATGACGATGGCAGCGTTTGGCGAAGGATTCTTGGGGAGAGATGCTCTCGCGAGGTCCCGAACGTTACCGCCATAGAGTGGCGTGACCAGACATAGATGGTTCCCATC